AATCCTATGAGCCCATGACGAACTACATGGATGTGAGCAGGGGGCAGCCACAACCCAAGGGCTACCAGCCCCTCACCAACTCTCTCATCACCTTCCTATCCCCCTAACCTCCTTCCACAGGCTTCGTACTATGGCACCATCTCCATCGGCACCCCGCCGCAGGACTTCACTGTCATCTTCGACACTGGCTCCTCCAACCTGTGGGTGCCCTCTGTGTATTGCAAAAGCCTGGCCTGCAGTGAGTATCCCTCTCCCTGAGGGCTGGTGGATGGTGTCCCCTTTTGCCACGTGTTGTCACCTTGCCTTCAGTGCCCAAGGGTGGGATGGGCTGTGACCATTCCTCTCTCACACCTGCAGGCAACCACAATGTTTTCAACCCCTACAAGTCCTCCACCTACGTGAGCACCAACGAAACCGTCTACATCGCCTACGGCACCGGCAGCATGAGTGGCATCCTTGGCTATGACACTGTGGCCGTAAGGCAGCAGCGATCCAGCTGCTTGTGTCACGGGACGTGGGGACATGGGGATGCCACATGCCCCAACCCAGCTCATCCTGCTCTCCCCATCTCTCCTACCAGGTCTCGAGCATCGATGTCAAAAATCAGATCTTTGGGCTGTCTGAGAGTGAGCCTGGCTACTTCTTCTACTACTGCAACTTTGATGGCATCCTGGGCCTGGCCTTCCCCAGCATCTCCTCCTCTGGGGCCACCCCTGTCTTCGACAACATGATGAGCCAGGACCTGGTGTCCCAGGACCTCTTCTCCGTCTACCTGAGCAAGTAGGTCCCACAGAGAAGGTTGTCTCCTTGAGGGTCCCTTGGAGGCTTCAGCATCACATCCCCTCGATGCTGCGGGGATCCTGGGCCATGGGACCGCTGTACCTAATGGCTGCTCCTACAGGGATGGGGAATCAGGCAGCTTTGTTCTCTTTGGTGGCATCGACCCAAATTACACCTCCAAAGGCATCTACTGGGTCCCACTCTCTGCTGAAACCTACTGGCAGATCACCATGGACAGGTATTCTTGGCAGTGATGGGACAGGGTGAGGGTGGTGACATCCCATATCTCACCTCTGGGCTCCGTGCAGGGTCACCATCGGCGAGAAGTACGCCGCCTGCCACCTCACCTGCCAGGCCATCGTGGATACTGGCACCTCACTGCTAGTCATGCCCGAAGATGCCTACAATCGTGTCATCAGTGACCTGGGTATCAGCTCTGATGACGAGGTGAGGCAGGAGATCCTGGGGACCTACAGGACTCAGGATCCTCCCTGAAGGCCAAGGTCCTGCCATGGTTCCAGGACACGTGGTTCCAGAGGGGCCACTGACCCCATATTCCCAACAGATCAGCTGTGATGACATCAGCAAACTGCCTGATATCACCTTCCATATCAATGGCTATGCCTTCAACCTGCCAGCCAGCGCCTACGTGCTGAACGTGAGCACCCCATGGGGGTGGTGAGGGGGATAGGGGTAGGGATGGGATGGGGATGGGGATGGGATGGAGATGGGGTGGAAATGGAGATAGGGGTGGGGATGGACTCTTCTGGGTGTCCTGGGCAGTTGGTGATGGTCTCCATCCTTGCCCACAGGAGGATGGGGCCTGCAGCCTTGGCATTGAAAACATGGGCACCCCCACTGAGTCGGGTGAGCAGTGGATCCTTGGCGATGTCTTCATCCGCAAGTACTATGTGATCTTCGACAGGAGCAACAACAGGCTGGGGTTCTCTCCCCTGTCCTGAGCCCCTTCAGCCCCTGGCTGGGCCAGACCCCACTTTTTCTTTCAGGCTGCTGCTGTCACTGAGCACAATAAAGCCTTGGAAACGCATTCATGTGTTGAGTTTCTCTGGGAAAGGGTCAGGTCAGGCTGCAGCATCTCCATGGTGCTGATGATGTCAGGCTGGGCTCCTCCTGCTGGTGGGGCCCTTTGTTTCCCCCCACCGTGATGCTTGCTGGCCACAAGTATGCAGGGTCCAGGACAAAACCATCACCATGCTGGCAGGGCTCTCCTAAACTGTGTTTGTTCCTGGCACATGGCTCGCTGGCTCCTGTTGGCAGCACCTGCACTGAGTCCCTGGCAGCTCCCAGTTGGCTCATCCCCAGCCTCCAGCAAGCCACACATGTCTCCTGTGCACAGAAGGGACAATCAGAAGATTCATCCCAGGGATGGGATTCATCTAAGGATGGTGCTAGTGATGCTGCTTGCTGCCACCTGGGTGCCACTGCATCCCCCAGCTCCCTGTGGTTCACCCAGCTGTGCAAACACCCCACATCTCCAAGCAAGGCAGTGGGCAGCCTATAAGTGACAGAGGGCAGTGGCATGACAGCAGGAAGCTGATAGGTGTCAGGGGCCCAGTGCCAAGGCAGCAGGTGGCCAGTAAGTGTCCCCAAGTGGGATGAAAGTGCTGGTTTATCAGGGTGCTGGCACGCCTCATCTGGGAGTGCCTCTGCGTGCTGTGATTTAAGGGCAGGCACCCCACAGTGCAGCACTGCATCCCTGTGCCATGAGGTGGCTGTGGCTGATGGTGCTGGCAGTAGCCACCCACACCCTGATGACAAAGTAGGGAACACTGGTGGTCATGGTGGGATCCCTGTGGTTGTCGCTGTGCTCAGCTGCAGTCCTTCCAGGACAGGTGCGGTGCAGTGACAGCTCCAGTTACAGCAATCCATTGTGCATATTCTGTTGCTTTCTGTTCTGATAATGTGTTCAAGGAACGTTTGGATTTTGTGTTGGGGGACATGGTTTAGTGAGAACTCTTGGTGATAGGTGGATGGTTGGACTGGATGTTCTTGTAGGTCTTTTCCAACCTTGGTGTTTCTGTGATTCCGTGATTCCCACAGGGTCATCTTGCAGCAGGAAGACAGAGCAGAGTGCTGCAGGACAGCGGGGTGCTGGGGGAGCTCCTGCTGCAGCAAGCCCTCTCCCCAGCAGTCGAGCATCGCCGCACCACCACCATGGAGCTCTTGGAAAACTACATGGATGTGAGCGTGAGGGGCTTGGCAGGACCCCAGTGCCTGGGGGATTCTGTGGGCAGGGGGCAGTGGAAGCCTCCAACATGCCCTGCATTGGCAGCTGAACGCTGTCACTATGGAAGATTGAATCCCTCCTGCCCTGCTCAGCTCTCTCCCCCATCCCTCCCACCTCCCGAGGCAGCCAACCACCAACGCTTCGACCTGGCTCGTTCCTCCACCCACCGCAGCGTGACCATGCTATGGTGCTGGCAGCATGGCTGGCGTGCTGGCCTACGACACCGTCACGGTGATCATCCAGGGGGCACAGGGTGGGGTGAGATGTGGTGCACCCCAAGCCTCCCCGCTTTCCCCATCAGGTTGGGTGCAGAACCAGATGGTTGGGCTGAGCCAGTGGGAGCCCGGCTCCTTCCTCGTCCACATGCCCTTTGATGGCTTCCTAGGACTGGCTTTTTCCCACATTGCCTCCTCCGGTGCTACTTCGCTGTTTGACAACATGATGAGCCAAGGCCTGGTGGCTCAGGACCTCCTCTCCATCTACCTCACCCTGTAGGTACTAGCAGCATGTAGGCAAACTCCAACACACTTGGGGCCAAAGCATGACCAATGGTGAAAGCTTCGCATTGGGCTGACCCCAAGGCATGCACAGCTCCCACCTGGGAGCAGAATTCTGCTCTGGAAGGGCACTGGCACCCCATGGGCACCCCACTTCCACAGTGATGAGTGAAATGGCAGCTTTGTGTTTTTTGGTGGCATCAACAGTTGCCACTTCACTGGGAACCTGAGCTGGATCCTGCTGACTGCCCAAACCTACCGGCAAATCAAGGTGGACAGGTAGTGCTGGCACGTGGCATGGGTAGGGGGACTTGTCACCAGGATGACAGCCTGCCTAAGGGACATGCCGTGCCTCCAGATTCACTATGCATGCCTCCCCATCGCCTGCATCCATGGCTGCCACGCCATCCTGGACAGCGGCAGGCCCTGGTCTCAGTGTGCGCCACATCCAATGTAAGATGGGAGCCACACGCAGCCCCAGTGGTCTGGTAAGCACATGGGGATGAAGGCAAGGACAGGAGAGTGGTGGCTGTCCCCTCAATGGCAGCACACAGAAAGATGCAGCTCCATTCTGCCCATCTTTGTCTATCGTCTTTGTCATCGCCGGCGCTCAATTCCTGCTGCCAACCCAGTCCTACATCCTCCAGGTGAGTCCCAAGCCCCAGCACACCGTTCCCACGGGCTGCCCACCACTCACTACATCCCCATCCACCCAGATGGAGGATGGCTCCTGCATGAGCGGCTTTGAAGCCTATGCTCTGCCCATGGCCACAGGTGAGCTATGGATCCTTGGCAACATCTTCCTGCGTCGCTACTGCAGCCAACAGCATGGTGTGGCTGGCGCTCGCCGCCTAAGGCACATCAGTCACAGAATCACAGAACCATAAAGGTTGGAAAAGACCTTTAAGACCATCCAGTTGAACTGTGGACCCATCCCCACCGTGCCAACTGACCACGTCCCCCAGTGCCACATCTCCATGGTTCTCAAACGCCTCCAGGCGTGGTGACTCCACCACCTCCTGGGCACCCTGTGCCAACGCAGCACCACTCTTCGATAGGAATATTTCCTAATATCCAGCCTGACCCCCCCAGCGCAGCTTAAGGCCGTCATCTCTTGTCCTTTTGCTAATTACCTCCTTTGAGGTAATTACCTCCTCTTCGCTGTAGAGAGTGATAAGATCCCTAAGAGCTGCACAGTTCTTCATGTCCCCAACAACAAGTGGGGCCGGGCTGGGTGCATACAAGGAGGAGCCTGGAGCGTAAATACTGGGGTAACTTTATTGGGGGGTGGAAGAGCACTGGCACCCCAGCCCCACAGCCTCTGGCACCATGGAGTGGTGAAGGACTGGGGGTCCCTGTGCCCACTGCCCAAGGATGTGTCACCACCTCTGGTTGCTCGGCGCATTCACTGCGCACCTCAGTGCCCCATCTTCAGCTGTGCCTGGCCAGCCAGGCCCGCTAATCCAGCAGCCTCCTCCAGGTGTGGGTGATTCTATGTGTCCATGTCCGCGTCCCCAGGCTGTTCCTGAGCGTCCTGCCTTGAGCTGGGGCTGCTGCTGAGGGCTGGGGATCCTGTGGCCTTACCAGGGCAGCCCAATGGGGGGCTTGGGGTGTTGGGAGGGGGCTCCCCCCCCCAGAGAAGGGCTGAGGGGGTTGGTGTGGAGCAGGACCTGGGCCAGGCGGTGGCGGGGGGTCTGGGGTGTGCCCTCATGGGATGGTGATGGGGACAAGGATGGGGATGGAGATGGGGATGGAGATGAAGACAGGGATGATGGCTGTGGGGTTGGGGATGGGGACAGAAGTGGAGATGTGTCACTGCTCTGCAGAAGGCTGTCTGCTGCAGAGAGAGAGAGATGCCCACATTTAGCTTCATTCCCCCCTAAAATTCCTGCATCCCACACTGGGGACAAAAGCCAGGTTGGGGCACCCACATACAGAGGTGGTACCTTGGCAACGTGGGCAGCAGGCAGTGGGCTCAGTGCAGGACTGAGGACACGGCCTCTCCTCGCAGCTCACCTCCCCGAGCTGTGGCACAGCAGGAAGAGGGTGATGAGGAGGATGAGGGGGATGAGGAGTGCAAGGAAGAAGGAGGCGTGAGCTCACCTGGCAGGTACAGCGGATGCAGGGCCGGCCCTCGGGGCTGAAGCTTTGCCCATTCACCACTTTCCTGCCCTCATAGTTGCAGTCTAGGGGGACAGTGCTCGGAGCAGGGGTGGTGGACACATCCTTGTGTCCCCATGTCCTCACATCCCTATGTCCCCCTGTCCCCTTTGTCCCTGCATCCCCACACCCACATGTACTCACGTCCCCGTGTTCTCGTGTCCCCGTGTCTTTCTGTCCTCATGTCCCTGTGTCCCCACGTTCCCCTGTCCCCAAGTCCCCATGCCCCCGGATTTCACCTTTACAGACAGGGCAGCACTCGCCCTCGGGGTGGAAGGGGTAGGTGCAGAAGATGGCGCAGTCCACGGGCGAGCAGGCCACTGAGCCCAGCTGGGGAGAGGTGGGGGCTGGGCATTAGTGGGTCAGGGTGCCCAAACGCCCACACCCCAAAGTCCACATGCCTCACCAGGCAGATGCAGCTGAGGCAGGGGTCCAGGAGTGACGGGAAGGTCTCGTTGTTGTAGAAGATCCGCCCCATGTAGGTGCATCCTATGGGTTGAGAGTGGGGTTGCAGCGCCTGGAGTCCTGTGTCGTCACCCTGTCCCTTGCTGTCCCCATCACCTGCTGAGCAGTCGGGGCAGCACTGCCCCGGGATGTGGATGGGGTAGGGGCACGTCTCCACGCAATCTGTCCGCTTGCAGCTCACCGAGCCATCAGCCTGTGAGGGGGAACAAGTGGCACAGACCTTGAAGCCATACAGGCTGAACCCACAGCGGGGGAGCTTTAACACAGTATGGGGGGGGTGGAAAGCCTGTGCAGCTGGGGATGGCAGAAGAGCAGAGGCTGAAGCATGGCCAAGGCAGGAGGCAGCTGGAGAGAGACCCTCCATCCTTCCCTGAGCCAACTCCAGAGATGCAAGGCAAGGCATGAGGACAGGGGATGGGGACACGGAAGGGATGGGGATGGAGATAGAGATGGGGACAGGTAGGAGGAGTGAAACAGAGTAGATTCTCATTCACCTGGCATACGCATAACTCACAGGGATCACCTGGAGACCAAATCTGTCCAATGGGAAACTCTACCCCATTGTCATCCACGAAGCAGCCTGGTGGGGACATGGACATGGCTGGGGAGAGGGCACCTCATCCTGTCACTCTCTGCCACATGTGGGTACACAAACACCACCTGAACCCTGTGGCAATGCATCCCCAATTCCATTTCTCCCAACTGGTGCCCCACACCCCAGCTCACCCGAGGGGCGCGAGGGGTCCTTGCAGCTGAAGCAGCACTGCCCGGGCTGCAGCTGCCTCTGGTGCTGGGGACAGTCCAGCACTGGGCACGGGGCAAAAGAGCACTCCACCTCTCCGTTCTGTGGGGAGAAGGGAGCATCACTCAGCAGCTCTGTGCCACTCACGGGACAATAAGAAGTGCCCCGGACCCACCCGGCAGACACAGGTAGTGCACTCATCCCCATCCAAGCTGAAGCGGGCTCCGTGTGCGTAGGTCTGGCCATGGAAGCTACATTTTGCTGGGCAGGAGGGAGGCAACGAGGGCTGAGATGGGGAGCTGAGCCCACCCAGGACCCCATGCGTGTGGCAGAGCCACCCACAGCCACTCAATCTCTGGCAGGACCCCACCTGGCTGGCAGGAGCAGCAGTTGGGGGGTGAGGCGCTGGGGCAGGAGCCTGGGGGGCACTCGGGGGAGATGCAGGAGATATTGCCAGCCTGCAGAGAGGAATGTGGGGAGGTCATGGGATGAGCAATGGATGTCAGTCCTGGCACGTGGCAGTGCGTCATTTGGATCCCACAGTTCCAGTGTGTCCCATCAATGTCACGAGCATCCGGGACAGGACTGGAGGTCTGCCCCCAGCCCTGTCCCACTGCACAGCACTCACCAGGCACATGCAGATGGTGCAGTTTCCATCTGATGGAGTGAAGACTTCTCCCTCAGTGTGGGCCACCCCGTTGCTCAGGCAGCCTGCAAGCCGGGAGTCAGAGCAGGCCACAGGGGGGCATGGGAATGGGGGTGCCAGGGCTCACCTGTGCAGCTGGGACAGCAGCCTCCAGCCGGGGCGGGCAGAGGGTGGGAGCACGGTATGAGGCAGGTGATGGCCTCGCACAGCACTTGGCCTCCCTGCTGGGGTGGGCACAGCTCAGGCACAGCACGGGGATGTGGGGATATGGAGATGTGTGGATGCAGGTATGTGGAACGCTCACCTGGCAGCTGCAGCTCTGGCACCCTGGCTCATTCCAGCGAGCGCCTGGCTCCTGGGGAGCCCCACGATGCCAGCAGAGAGGAGCTGATGTGGGAGTCCCAGGGGGCGGATCAATGGCATCGTGAGGGGAGGGAGGAATGGATGTGCCTGGTGCCGCGGCAGGAAGGTGAGGAGAGGGGAGCAGGCGGGGTCCCCCAGCTCCAGGAGGGAGTAGGATATGTGTGGGGGAGTGCTGCAAGGACTGCAGGATGGGCGAGGGTGCCAGGATGGCCTTGGGGAAGCCTGGGAGGGAAGGGGAAAGGCGTCAGCATGGGGAGTTTGGGGGTTCCCATGTAGGGGAACAGGCGGTTACCTTCGCAGGACACCCTGTCCCTGCTGAGCCGGTAGCCAGGCCGGCAGGAGCAGAGGAAGCTGCCCAGTGTGTTGTGGCAGGCATGCTGGCAGGCACGGCGCTCACCCGGCTGCCGGCACTCGTTGACATCTGGGGGATGTGGAACACGTTGGTGTCCCCAGCGGTGTCACCCGTGGCACTGAGCACAGCACAGGCACATAGCAGGGTTGGGGTTCCACCACTTGAGGGGGAGTCGTGGTGCCGGCACGTAGGGGAGGGGTGACGGCGCATGGGGAGCTGTCGTGGTGCAGCCCGTGGCAGCAGGCGGCCAAGCCCGCGTGCAGCACTCACCCACGCAGGTGTGCTGGTTCCCATGGAGGTGGTAGCCAGGACGGCAGGAGCAGCGGTAGCTGCCCATGCTGTTCTTGCAGCGGTGCTGGCATGGCGTGGCCAGGCACTCGTCAGTATCTGTCAGGCAGAGGCTGAGGCTCAGCGCCCCAGCTGAGCGGCCCTCCCCAGCCCCTTGACCCCACAGACCCTGGCAGCTGTGGCGGTTGGCGGCCAGCTGCATGCCGGGGCCGCACTCGCAGACGAAGCCACCCTCGGTGTTGACGCACAGCCCCTCGCAGGCAGCGCTCAGGCACTCGTTGATGTCTGCGGGCGAGAAGGGACGGAGCTGGGGGCTGGGGAACGCTGGAAACCCCCCTCCGGCCACACCTCGCTCCCCCCAGCTCACCATTGCAGCGGACGCCGGCGTCCGTCTCCACCATGGAGAAGCCGAGGGGACAGACGCGGGCCACCTCCTGGCACCCACCGTGGTTACAGGAGAGGTCGCAGCCGTACTCCCCGCAGCTTCCTAGCGGCTCTGGAAGGCAAAGAGTGGCTCTGCGGGACACCGGGGGCACCCTGGAAGCCAACTGTGCGCCCTCGGCTCCGTGGCACGTGGAGGGGATGGGGCCCCTACCTGGGCAGGTGACGCCCCGCTCTCCATCGGGGCACGAGCAGAGGTTGGGTGCAATGCAGAAGCCGCTGCCGCAGCCAAAGGAGCAGAGCGCTGCGGGGCGCAGGAACGTGAGGGCGCGGGGACTCCCACCCGGTGCCATCCCCGGCGCCCGTACTCACGCAGGATGCACTGCCCGCTGCCCGGAGCCAGCATCCAACCGGGGCAACATCCGCTGCCGAAAGCCGAGAAGCAGATGTGGGGCCCCACGTGGCGCCTGGGAGCGGGCGGCGAAGGAGGAGGTCACCCTTTGCCGTGCCCCACGGACGTGAGGAGGCGATGGGGGACCGGGGATGGGGACGTGAGGGAGCTGGAGTGCCGACGATGCAGCAGCACGGATCTGAGGAAAGGGTCTCGGGGTACAACGGGATGACTGCGGGATGCGGTGGGACGGAGGGGTGGTGGAGAGGCATCTCTGGGCAGGACGGAGACGTGGGGAGAGGCAGCCCGCGAGGGTTACCATCCGCGGTAGTGGATGGGGCGCACGTGGGCAGAACGCTGCACGCCGCCATCGCCAGGTGCAGCTGGGGTAGGGATAAGGAAAAGGGGGGCAGGCTACCTCTCCACGGCAAAGCTGGCCGGCTTCTTCCTCCCGGAGTACACCCTGCCCTGCCCGCCCGGGAGGAGCAGGGACACACAGGCAGCCCGGACGAGCAGCACGACCAACATGCCAGCGGTTCCGGCGGCACGCTCCCAGCGCTGCCTTCCTGCCTGCCTTGCAGCACGGGGCGCCTACCGCATGCTGGCCCTTGGCCCTGCTCCTCCTCCCGCCCGCCGGGCCGGGAACAATGCGGGGGGTGGAGGGAGGCAGAGCGGGGCGCGCCGGGGGGCCCCGATCCTCCTCTGCCCCAGCGCGGGAGAACGGGCGTGGGGATGCTCGAGCCGAGCCTCGCGCCCTCGCCGCACTTCGGCCTCAGCGCCACCGACCTTCTCCTCCTCCTCCCCGAGGGAGGGGGTCCCCACTCTTTGGAGGGGGGAGAAGGGAGTTCAGCGTCCCCCCTGCTTTCTCCTTTCCCACATCTGGCAGAGCTCCGGGCTGGCCTCTCCCCACCCCTCCTCCTCCTCCTCCTCCTGGCGGCACTGGGCTGCCTTCCCAGCCCTGCACGGGGACCCACCAAAGAGGAGCACGCAGCAGATAGAGGAGCCAAAGTGCAGTGGGGAAGGGCGCGGCGAGGGCCTCCGTGGGGGCTGAAACCCCTCCAGCCCGAACCTCCCTGCGCCCGGCCGGGGGCTGAAGCAAAGGTGAAGGGCAGGTAAATGATTGACGGTGCAGAGCAAAGAGCATTCCCTGCAGCACAGCACTGGGGTGACCCTCTGCCTGCAGCCCCAGGCTTCCCCTGCAGCGTGACCCCAGGGCATCATCAAATGCTGGCTGGAGGGAAGTTGAGAGCGTGGCACCTGCCACCCCGGGTTTGCTTTTAGGGAGGGAGAAGGGCCAAGCACAGATCCTGAGCCCTCCAGCAGAGGAAAGGTGCCTGTGGAGGGTCAGTTGACTTCTCCCATCCCAAACAACAGCCTGCTCCAGGTGGATCGGATTCTTCCCACACCTAAGGCTTGCCCAGCAGCTCAGGGCTGCTGGAAACACGCACACGACTTTAGAATGCTGCCCACCTCTTAGCTGCTGCAGGAAAGGAGGAACATAGGGAAAAAAACTTGTGCTAGCATGGGACCATGGCGTGCATGCACATGTGTGGCTTTTGGAGCAAAACCTGAGTTGCATAGCAAGAAGAAAGGATCCAATCTGGGGTCCTGTGCCATTCTCCCCTCCTCTGGTGGCACAGAGCCTCCTAAGTGTGGGATAATATCTGTGGGGGCTCTGTTAACCCCATGGGTTCCAATGGGGAAGAGGGCAGCTGGGGACTCCTCAGCTCCCTCACGTGCATTTTGGCAACTGCTCAGCAATCAGGACAGCAGCAAGCCAGAGCAGCTCAGAGCCAAATGGAGGCCAGGATAATGATTAATCTATTTCACATGCAGAGTATGGAGGGGCAGGACCCCATTCCGCATGGAGCCCGACTTGATTGTGCCCTTCCAGCTCCTAGCTCTGTACTCCCTGCCCCTGCTGCACCAGGGAATGAAGGAATCCTTAAGTTGAAGGAATCCTTAAGTTCTTTACTATGAGTGGTGAGGTACTGAACAGGCTGCCCAGAGACTCTGTGGATGCTCCTCTGTCCCTGGAGGTGTTCAAGGCCAGGTTGGATGGTGCCCTGGGCAGACTGGTCTAGTATTAAATGGGGAAGTTTTTGGCCTTGCCTGTGGCAGGGGGGTTGGAGCTCCATGATCCTTGAGGTCCCTTCCAACCTGGGCCATTCTGTGTGATTCTGTGAATCCCATGCAACTGTGATGCTTAGTGGAGCGTGGCAGCACCAGCGGGCACACCATTCCGTTTGGACTACTTTATTTGGTAAAACTCCACAAACGAATTGAACTTCCCAGAAATTCCCTCCCTGAGCGAGCCAGAGGTGCTGTGGAGGGAGAGGAGCGTGCTGTCCTGCTGTCCCCCTCCGCTTCCTTCGCAGAGAAATGCTCTGGGCCCACAGATCTCACCTGCCCCAGATGCCTCCTCCAGCCCTCACGCTTGAGGCAGCTTTGCTTCCTCTTCCAAAAACAAACAAACAAAAAAAACCCCAACAAAACCCACCATGGATCAAAAAAGAATCAAAAACGAAAGCAGAAAAACAAACAAACAAAACAATAGCAAAGCATGAACCCAGGCAAGGGCAGTGCTGTGCGTCACCCAGCGAGAGCAACCAGCAAAGCCCAGCACTGGTCGAGTCCGTAGGATTGGTGAATCCAAGCTGGCAACAGCAAGGTGCCCCCCAGATCCCTAACAAACAACTCCCCTCAGGCAAGGGCTGCTGCCGGCGCTGAGTGCAGCCAGGCAGGGGAAGGAAGCCCCTTGCTCTACATGGAGGAAGGTGTCAGGAAAAAGCCCCAAATCCTGCTAGTGGATGCGGGTCAGCTCCTCCACAATCTTGATCAGGTCGTCCACAGTGGCCTCCCTCTTCATCCCACTGCCGTCGTCAATCTGCAGAGAGAGAAAAGCATGACAACGCCTGTAGGTGATGGAGAAACAGCAGGACGTGTGTTTAGGGTTTAGCACAGCCTCCATTTCTGAGCAGTGTCCCCATCTGTGGGGTCACCCCTCACCTGCAGGTTTGCCACCACCTCCTGCATCTTGGGCCTGCTGATGTCCAGGAAGCTTTCGATCAGGTCACCATCAATGAAGCCTGTAGCTGGCTCTGTCTTGCGCTCAGTGTGAAACGATCTCCAGGTGGCACTGTCAAGGAGCCAAATCCACATGGAGTGACATCAATCCCACCCTGTCCAGACAAAAAACCTCTCTGCTGGGTAGCTTGAGGCAGACTGACCATGCTGCCTCACAGAACTGGTCTGGAAAACAGCCCTAAAAGTGTGGCAAGGAAGATCTTGGGAACTCGACATTATTGCACGCAGTTCCTCAAGCACAGCCATCTCCTGGGATCAGAGACAAACCAACATTTGCACCACTACAAAGCCCAGTTTGTTCTCAAGCCCTGCAAGATGTGCTTTAATTCACAAGCCAGCTGCCAGCACCCACTGGCATGGGCTCCCAGTTGGACCACAGAAGGATATAAGGAGTGCTCGATCTTGCCCACGCTCTTGATGACTTTATTCAGCCTGTTCTGCATGTCCAGCAGGAGGTTGTACCAGCTCTCTGACAGCGAGGTTACCAGCCCTATAAACGAAAAGAGGGCGGTGCGAGGTCAGCATCTTGCAGACCCTAGGACCACACTGCTGCAGCTGCCAGCAGGCAGAGAAGGGCAGGACTGCAGTTGGAGGCTGCTCCCTGACAGGGCTGAGACAAGGGTGGGGAGAAGAAGAAACACAAGAATCTCAGGCCAGGGTGCTCCCTGCCCCTCACCTATCATGCCGTTGACCGTGCCGAAGAGAACGGAGCCCTGTGTTGGTGTGGACGTCTCGCCCAGGTTCTGCATGACCAGGGAGCCGTGACAGAAGACATTGACAAACTCTCCCAAGTGGGACAGCCCCACCTCCTGCAAGTGCTGGCGCTCCTCGTCAGTCGTGGCAGCACTGCAAGCCAAAGCACTCCGCTCAGTCTGTGTGGGGGGCGCAGGAGAGCTCCCCCGAATCCCATCTCAGAGCTGAGCATCCTTCTGTCCATTTTCCTGCCCAACACACACCCCATCCCTCCTGCCATGTATTGCTACGGCTCCCTTCCTGCCAGCCCACCTGTCCTTCTGGCACACAAACAGGTTGAAAGCGTTCTCTGCTCCCAAGAAGTTGTCGTCGTCCAGGATCTCTACGGCACTCATCCAGTTTGGATTAAAGTCCCGGGCAATCTGCAAAGGGACACGAGGAGGGGCAGCGAAGCGCATCTTCATCCCACTCAGCAGCCCCATTTGTGAGTGAGGCACGACTCACAAAAGAGTCTGACTTCTCTGCTGAGCCAATAGCACAAACTGCCTCTGGGAAGATGGCGCTGGCCTGAGCTGCGCTTGGATGATGCCAGGGCAAATGAGGCCAGACCGTGCTACAGCCAATCGCACAGGTGCACAGATGGCCCCAGCGCCCCGTCCGACTCCCAGCTACGCTGCATTACTGACTGATGCAGCCAGTCTCAATAAGCCTCCCCAAGTGCACAGCGTCGGGCAGCTCCCCCCTCCTGGCACACACTGCAGGCCTGCAGTTCCCCAGCAGCTGACACACAGCCCAGCCTCCCGAAAGCCTGGGATCTGTTCCTCCAAAAAGACAGGGGTCTGTCTAGAAGAATGTCACCAGGTAGTCCTGTCGTCTGAGCACAACCCTACGCCCTTGTCTTCAAAGGGCTGGTGAGGTGGGCTGAGCCAGGTTCCTCCATTTTCCATCTTCAGCACTGCTCCACTTGCCTGAAGCCTAATGGAACAATTAGCGTGGACCCCCAGCACCTCTGACCAACTGAACTCCATGAAGGATACATCTATTGAAGCCCCAACACTTGTAACACTAAGTTGTCTCATTCTAACATTCAACAGCTTGATACCATTACAGAAACTAACACACCTGCAGTTCAGTCAACCCCCCTTGTGTTGATGGCTGTCAGAAAACACACAGTATCTCTGGAACTGTCTGATAAATCACAGCATCTTTCTATGCATGTGAAGTGATGGGAGAAGTGGAGTTCTTTTGTTTCTTGAAGGTCTTTTTCATCCTAAATGACTCTGATTCTAAATGACACTAAGGGACACGGCTGAGCGACGGGACTCAGCAGACAAGTTGACAGTTGGACTTGGTAAGAAGGTCTTTTCTGACCTAAACAACTGCAAATCTAATACCCAACAGCACTGATACCTCTTCAAAGTTTCCTTCCATGGGCTTGTATGCAAGGAGCAGGACCGACCGCATCAAATCTCCCACAAGGATGAAGTCTCCTTTGGTCTTCAGGTAGAGAGCCATGATGTTGTTGTAATGGTTGCACTCCGTGCGCAGCTCCTTCTCGGCTGTCCACTCATACAGGCGCACCTGGAGGAAGGAAGGGACGAGACTCTGAGCTGGGACTCACACCTATGCCAGCCAAGACACACTGCCAACAGACCCAGCTGACAGCCACACAGCTGGAACAGCTCCCAACTCTGACACATGCTTGGGAAGGAAGCTGCAGTCTCACGAGGGCCCTACCGTGCTGTTGATGCTGGCTAACAGCTTCCCGTTGAACTCCACCATGGAATACACAGCTCCCTTCACTTCCTTCTCAGCCAGGCTCTGCAGCTTGCCTGCAATCAATCCACAGCACACCCAGTTATTTGCACTGTGCTCCCAGGGCCGATAAACC